CCGAGATCTCGTGACGGTAACGCCCGAGCTACCCGAGCATCGAAACGAGATGATAGGCTAAGCGACATGTCAACATTACGCAGCGATGCGTGGTACAGACCAGCATCAACAGACCTCCCTCGTTTCCCCCTTCATGAACGGTCGCCTTGGTGCCAGCCGCACCGTACCGAGTGGAACTGCACAAGAGGCACTGCAGCTTCGTTTTCGGTCGGGCTATCTGATATGATCTCGTCAAGAATGTGCACAAAAGGCTGCAACACGTACAATCTGCTTCAGCAGCAGCAGCAACGACTGGCGTCGTCAATATCAACCAGGAATTCTGACACTGTGAGAATAGCATCTTCCCTTTGCACAGCGAGAACGCTCACTTCTCGTTGGCGCCACTGAGGACCATGTACCTCGCAAGATCGGGAGTGGCTCTGCGAGTCGCCCCACAGCAAGAAAAGCCGGCTGAAAGGCCTGCAGATAATATCCGTGTTATCATGACTTCAAGTCTCGGCCACGCGAGGCTACTTGGGCACGGCTTGGCATCAGCTGTTTGCGCATGTCGCAGTGCCCTGATCAAGCCACAAGCTTCAGCGTGCACTTCAGTTGTTCTGGCAAAAGCGGCATTGCTACGTGCCTGAGAGTCGGAAGAGCTTCGATGACATTCATGCTCTTCCTTGGGTGGGGCATTAATCTCTCTATAGAGAGGCGGTTAACAAGGGAATGTGAAGGATCTTGTGGCAATTACATGAGAAGAGATGGATTCAATCCGAAAGTCAATCTCATCTCGTTCTCCAGGCGAAGAAGTCGCCTTTCCATATTCTTTCGGCCAGGAACCTTCACGCACAATTCGGCAAATCTGCAACACTGTGGTCAGATCTGACGTGCTAGTTACAAGTTGCGAGCTTCCAGCCAGCTTGAGGCCAAAAACAATCCCTCTCATCGAAATGCACACCGCTCTACTACCTCTAGATTTTCCCAAGACTCAGACCTTGCCGTGGAACTTCCACGAAATCGAGCGGAAGGCTTCCTTGGGCGTCTGGACCTGCAGAGCAAGTCTTTGGCTTAGCCGTCACATGACACCCGGCGACTAGCTGGGCAGCTGACCCTGCCGAAATCGTCTCGATACTCAAGCTTGATGTCACCATCGACTGTAGACATCTCCAATGGGCGGTTGTCCAACTTTCGGATCCTGTGAGAGTCCTGCGAGGCCATGCAAGGCCATGATGTGTTAGCGTCGGAACTCCAAGCCCAGTTCAATGCGACAGCTCCCAGTACCTCTCCTGGTCACAACCGATCTGAGATCGAGCCCGGAGGTACTCAAGCCCACTGGCGCCTCAAGAAACACGCTCTCACGCAGCGCTTTCTCTGGAGTCGCAAGTCATCGAATGGATTCGAATCGGTTGCCGGCAGCTGAGGTCAAGAGACTCCTCGATCAGCGTCTGTTCCTGCCATGAACGTGCTGCCACAATGCAGTGTTGCACAAAGGAGGCACCAAGAACAAATAGCGGATCTGGCCAGGTCTTCTTCCGCATCTTTCGTGGCAGCCATGACCTGCAATCGGAGGTCCCCACTTACGTAACTGTCGCTTTCACTGGACTTCCGGCCAAGGCGCTTCCTCGGGCAGGCCCGCTTTTCGGGCTTTTCGCTCACCCGCTGCGACACCCTTGCGCTGGGTTGCCTGCGGATCACAGTTGTCGGTACATGTCCCTGCAGGGCGAAAGCAAAAGGCAAAGGCCTGCTGCTTGTACAGCGTGGAACCCCGGAAGCTTTCATGCTTCAGAGTCTCGATCTTCTCAAGTGGAGTCTGCACCACGTTGCAGAACCTTCATAGCTTCGCTCACCGGCTTCATAACACAACATTGCTATTTCTCGAAGACTCGAAGCTGGGCAGATATCGAGGAGCACATGTCATGAAACTGAGCTGCAGGCTCCGTTGTGGCGGTCAATGCCACATTGCTGTCTGCATCTTTCTTTAGCCCGAGAAGTTCTGCCAAACAGCTCACAGGCACCATGATGCATTCTATCTTGTCACTCCCTAAACCTGCCTCTCCATTTTGCACAACTGCTGCTTACACTCGTTAGTATCTACCCGTAGAATCCAGAACGTAGCAAATCCCGAAGGGCATGGAAAGGCGCCTTTCTCCTTCTCCTTCACTTCATCCTCCTCGCACAGCCAGCTTTTCGTACGAAAAAAGACGCTACGAAAAGCATCCCCTCGAGCGCTGCCTCCTCGCCCATGCCCTGGATGCGCTCCGACACCTGCGAGGTTTGATTTAATCCCGAGCTCAAAAACTGAAAGATGCCGGCGGTGTCACTCAAGCCTGTGTCAAAGCAGCTTCCCCTTTTTTGGCTTGGCCTGGGAGCTGTGGCATCACCACAAGCCAGGTAGGACTAATGCTACGACTCATCGAGCCTGTGTCTGCACGTTTGACTAGGCGGCGCTGTTTGGAAAGCTGTTCATACAGCTCCGGGTCCTGGCAACAAGGTGCTTAATGACGGCTTTCTGGGACGTGAAGGTCGGGGGGCTCCGATGGCGGCTCCTCCTCGTCAGAGCCCGCATCATCAGGCCGAGCTGGACCTGTGGTCATCCACTTTCTGTGCTGGTTACGCCGGTTACGATTGGCATGACCCTGCAATTTTCACGGCATTAGCGCATGCGATGACTGCTATATCATAAGCGGACAGAGCTGCTGGTTCCCTCGGGTCAAGCTCCTGCAAGCCAGCCAAGCTTTGTGGCCAAGCCCCTTGACTTGCACAGGCGCTCATAGCAGCATTGCATGCAACTAGGTCGCCTTCTACAGCCAAATTCAGTAATCCCTGGAGTAAGCATAGTGCTGACTGCCATCTGCCCCCACGCTCACAAGCCACAATGGAATCGGTGCATGTGTGAGCATCGCAAGAAGGCATTGCTAGCGCCTCCGACCCAAGAAGCAGAGACCTCTCCCACTGGTTGGCATGAGTAAACGCCGTGATGACCCCGCTATGTGTGATCTGGTCTCTCTGCAGGTACCGTGTGTCCAGTTCTCTCAGCCAGTAGAAGGCATGTTGCCAGTGCGTCTTCGAGCTGGCTCTCAGAAGTGTGTGGAAAGTGATGATATCTGGAAGTAAGCGGTGGCTCTGGAGCCGTTCAAGCAGCACGATGGCTTCCATCCACTCCCCACCGTCAAAGGTAGACAAGGCAGCGTTGAAGGTGACGAGCGTTGGCTGCAGCTTGCCCTGCAGAAGAGATTCTAAAAAAAACATCGCCAGCATCCAGTCCTTTGAAGTGCTGATTATTGCATTGTAGCTGATGGCGTCTGGCTGTACATTCTGCGTGTGAGACAAGATCTCAAACACCGCCAATGCCTGCTGCCACTGGGAACACTTCTCGCAGGCACTGATAGCAGCATTGAATGCATTCACTGTCTGGGTCCGAACTGCTTGGCATGATATGAGGGTGGCCAAGGCTTGCTGCCATTGGTTTTCCGTCTCGCATGCGCTCATGCATGAGCTGTGCATGACTCCGTCCGGCTGGACACTGCATGCCGGTGCCTCTGACAGCAGCACCAGTGCTCTTTGCCAAAGCTCTAGTCTCGCACCATTCCTGTAGCCGTTTCTGCAAGCACTCATTGTAGCACTCAGTGTCATCTGCGTGCATCTTACAAAGCTTGCGGTCATCCAGCACAGCAGATCGACAGCGTGTACCCACCGTGAGCGTCTTGCGAAGGCTGAGATGACGCTGTTGGACAAGACTGCGTCCTTTTCATGGCTCTTTCCCGCACAGATCGCGAGCAGGTGGCATGCTTGCTTCCACTTGGCACTGATTGAAAAGGCATTGGCTGCTGAATTAAAGGAGATCGAAGTGAGCCCCAGATCACGGCCCAGCTTCCGAAGGTGCAGCGATGTTGTCTGCCACTGCTGTCCTCGGCCACAAATTGTGAGCAGAGCGTTTTGCAAGACAATGTCTGGCAGAATTCCGCGCACGGCCAAGTCTGCGACTGTGAAGATGGCTGTCGGCCACCGCTTCGCAGTGCACCGCGAAACAGCTTCAGTGGATCGAAGCAAGTTTTCGTTATGGGACCCCTTGTTCACATGTGCACTGACCCTACTTCCGGCATCTTGACTTCTCCAGTGGCACTGCTTCCCCTCTGCCAGAAACGTGCCGACGACCATGTATTCCTGAATGTATCATCATGGCGACTGGCATTGTAGAGCCGTGCTAGACGGACAGCCTTGTTGCCGGCATCTTTGAAATCTGCATCCGGTTTAGGCAGACGGACCAGCACAACTGGCTACAAATATCTCCGTCAGTCATGCGTAGCACCCTCGAGCCAAAATTCATTTGTGCATGGACAGAAACTGACATGCCGCCGTCAAGTCAGAAAACTTTTCGACCGCATCGCACATGTCATGCCGGCCTTTGACATGAACTTTGCTCGGGTCACCAATCTGATCCTCTTTGTCTCCTGCCACCTGCGCATGACGATCTGGCAAAGGTGGTATGCATGGGCCACAACTCTCAGGCGCAAGTCGGTACAAGGACAAAAGAAGTGGGCGTGCCATCAAAGCTTTTCCCGAAGGACGATCCATGTCAGAGCAAGCACAGAGACGCGAAGGGCTGTGAGACGAGCTGCAGTCCGATTCCGCTGCGACCATGGAGCCACTTTGACGAAAGCAGAGCTTTGACTCCATACGAGCTCATGCGCTCGAAACTCTTGCGACCTTCCGGGATCTGTTCCGAACGACTGACCTTGTCTGACACGGCCTTCATACGTTTGTCCAGTTCCAGCCACCAGGAGGCAAACGTGGCGTGCTAATCCCATCAATGAAACATGTTTCAGGTCATGGATCACCACGTGGTGGCTGTCGAGCAGAGCCGAATAAGTCGACCGGTAAGTCCCACGTTGCCCGCACCTTGACAAGCACCAAGAGGATCGATCGGAGCACCAGGTTCCGGCAGGAGTTGGCATTCCGTGTTACAGGCCATGCCTTTAGCATCAGAATGCATCAGATATGAAGATTCGTCGCCGGCGTCATAGCTCGTCACAGATCATGCCGGCTTGTTCAAAAATTGACCTTGGCGACTGCGCATGAACCCTGTCCACAGTGTCGAAGACTCACTACAAATATTCGGTATAGGGCAAAGTATTGTAGCAACGTCTAGGAACCTCAAAACGCTTGGCAGCAAAGCCGTGTCCAACACCACGTGCCCTTGCCCAGGTGGCAGGGCATCGCGAATTTTCGATGCCTCCTCGCCGATGGAGCCGATCATAACCTGAAGATAGAGAAAGGGACGCAGAAAGAGCGCGAGAGGGATTGAGAGATGGGGTGAGAGGCAAGGGGAGAGAGAGAGAGAGAGCAAAACAACAAAAACAACGACAAAGAAAACAAGGAGAGAGAATGACAAGACAAGAGTTGCGGAAAACAGAAAAGGGTCACATTCCATTATGTACCAATGACACAGGAAGGAGCTGCCTTCACAATGATGCCCTGCCTTACAATGCTTAAACACTGACTACGACCGCCCATTCGCATTGACATGCAGAGCAAAGCACGGCATGGCCATCCACTCGAGAGCTTCGTCGCAGTGAGTTGCTCCACCAGATAGGGTCCAAACCGTAGCGCCTGCAGGGAGAAACCAACCGAAGACACAACCGATCCATCTTCTTGGCAAACGCAATAGGAGTAGAGGCATCAGCGTGCCAACAGTAGCAGTGGTAGTACATCACCAGGAACAAAGTTTCGTCGCACTTGGCTAGACCATCTTGCGGAGGACGCGGAGTACTTGGAAGTGCATTTTACGTGG